TTTCATATTTGAAACCAAAGTAAAACTTAGCCCCTATTTTGCTCCAATTTTCAAAAATTCATTTTCAATCATATATTTCATAAGATTCAGAACTTTTCAATCACATGTTAGAATTTGGTTGTGATCAAAATTCTTTGTTGAAGATAATTGGAGTTTCAGTTAAAGTCATTAAGAAGAATTCTATTTGGAATACAATTGAAAATTTTTATTTAAGTTTATTTGGCAAATTATAATTGAAATTCTACTTTGGAAATCTATTGGGGATGGAAATTTGTATTGGATTTGAAGAGAACTTTGGGATGAAGAAAATCAAGATCTTTAGAGTAAAGGACCCGAGAGTGGACGCCACCCGGCTCCATCTATTTTGCCATCTGTGCTATTTTGGTCTCATTTTTCGTTTCGGACGTCGTTTTGTCATTCTACTTCATCTACAACACTACTATAAAGATTTGGACTTCCTTTATTTGTTCCTTATATAGTTGACTCTTCATTATGATTTAATGAGAAGTTAAAAGTTTTGGACAAATCATAAACACATAAATCTTTGTATTTCTTCTCCATATTATAATAAAATATTCATTCTCTGCGAATTACATTGTTCTTGTGATCGGTTACTTTATATTGTAGTTTAATCTCTTATCTTTTCATAACTAACTAGTATTAGAGCATTCCAATTTTCATAACAATTGGTATCAGAGCTTTTGGTATTGAAACTTTTGGGAAGATCGAGATTTTTCATAATGGCAACAATGAAGTATGATATTCTGTTATTAAATCGTAATACAAGATTCTCTTTGTGATAGGGAAAGATGCAAGCAGTACTCACTCAGATCTGTTATAAGACTTGTTTCAATCCTGTTTTGTGGTCGTTAGTCACTTTTGCCCCTAGTTGGGGTAGCAGAGATGTAGAATATTTTCAGTTGGAATTGTTGATGGAGAAGTTTGTTTTTGTTTTTTCATTGAAGAGTTCAAGTTTAATCTTTGCAATAGAATTTGTCTCCTTTTTTAAGTTTTATTCATTGCAGTGAAATTCGTGTCAAAGTGAAAATTATTAGAATTAATTGAGAATTTTAATTAAAGTGCACATTAAGAATAATCTTATTTGCAATGCCATTGTGTATTTCTGTTCAAGTTTATTTGGCAAATTATAATTAGAGTTCTACTTAAAAGCTCAATGGGAGTAGGAATTTGTGTTGGACTTGAAGAGAATTTTGAGATGAATAAAATCAAGATTTTTGGAGTAAAGGATCCCAGAGTGGGCGCAACGGCACCATCGTCGCTATGCCACGATAATTTTGGCCCGACACTACCGCACCGCCCGGGTGGTGCCGATGTGCCACATGTTCTGCCACCTGCACTATTTTTTGTCTCCTTTTAATTTTTGAACTCCATTTTTGACAATCTACTTTTTGTACAACTCTACTATAAGGGTTTGGACGTCCCCTATTTGTTCCATATATATAGCGACCCTTCGTTATGATTTAGTGAGAAGTTGTTAGACAAATCATAAACATATAATATTTGTATTTTTTCTCTATATTATAATAAAATCTCTATTCTCGACAAATTACATTGTTCTTGTAATCAATTATTTCATATTGTATCTTAATCTGTTATCTTTTCACAACAAACTGGTATTAGAACATTTTAGTTTTCATAACAACACATCTTATCAACTTTTATCATATTTCACTAAAAATTTGGTTTTATCATAAATAAACAAGGGCTTAATCTGTTTATAGATTCTTCTTACATCCGTTTACATAGGTTACAACATTTTAGATGTCTTTTGGAGTTGAATTACATCAATTAAAAATCTGAAATCAACTAATTAAAAACTATTGAGGACCTAAAAGACACCATTGGTGTCACTTGGTAAGGTGAGTGTGGTCATGACAGACCTGCACGGTAGCACACCTGTGGCATCCAGAAAATGCAAGTGTGNATATATGTGACCATTAATGGTATAATTGTGACCTAATTAATAAATATTTTTAATTAATTACAAAATACCTGAATTTTGAATTTTTAAACTATAAACCTGATTTTTGAATTTGTATAAACTATACACCTTATTTATGATTTTTATTCTAGAAAAAATACATTACTCATATCCGATTTGTTATGTTATTGAATATTCGATCCAATAATTCGATCAGAAATATTTTACACATTTTTTTTAATTGGAAATAGGAGATTTTCAATCTCAATATAAAATTTATTAAAATATATATTAATTTTATATTGAAATTTGATAGATTTGGCATTCTTCATTTAAAGTTAGAGTATAATACAAGTTTCAAAACCCAAAAAAATTTATGTGTAATAAATTATACAATAATATATTTATTATAACAAATCGAATTGGATTGACATATATCCATATTTGTTCCATTAGTTAACGGAATATCGAATTCAGATTTCGATCATGTTATCGAATTAAGACCCTAAGTTTATCTCCAATTAATTTCACTGAATTTGGATCAAATTCGAATCAAAATTCAATTCATTAACAACCCTAAACTAGCGTACATAGGTAATGTGATCATCAAGCTAGCCAAAAAATTTGGCCAACTCTTTCTTTCTCCATATTGTCTAGTCTTAGCCCCTGTTTGACTACCATTATTTTAAAACTTTTTAATTTCGATACTCATTATCAACCACACATTTACACAATAAAATATTTTGCATGTAAATTCAAAAAAAATTCCTACCTTTTAACCACACAATTTTCCAAAAATCATTATTCAAAACTTCTTTTTCTCAAAATAGTGCCATCAAACATGGGTTTAATTCAATGCTACTTGACTTGTATTTCCATCCTTCATTTAATGTAAAATGTTAAAACAATATTCTTTTGAAACTATTTCCAAATTTATTGTATTTTTTAATAATTTTAGCACTTTAATTAATATTTTAGCTAGAGACAATTAAGGCATTCTCCTTGTATAGATAGGGTTTGCTTTTTCATATATATATATAGGTAATCAAGTTTGAATAATTAATTAGAATCAACAATGTCCTAATTTCAATCAGTTATCAGTATCAAACTAAATCAACTAGTACTCATTAGTTGATTATCAATATTCCACTAGAATCAACACGTTTTCATCCGTTGATTCTCAATATTCTATTATGAAAGTTACAATTTTGACTCAACAAACACCTAGGGGGTGAATAGGTGTTTGTTTGCGAAATTTAAATTTGTTAATTACTAATAGCAGCAAGTTACAATTGTTAATTTATTCAGATGAATTCACATACAATAATGTTGTTCTAAGTTAAATTACCGCAGTTGATATATTGCATAAAAATAAACAAAATCTCGAAATTGTTGATGGAGAAAACCTTTCGCGGGATAAAAATTTCGAGCTCAAGCCATTAGTATCAACTATAAACAATAAAGACTTAAATATTGTTCTGACTAAACTTTAGTACTTCCTGACCTCATGAATGTAATCACCACGGCCCTCCTGGACTGCGTGCTACTGCATCAACTCCTGACCTTTTGGAACCGTTTATCTCATGTGGATTATTTGAGAACTCCTGTTATCCTTCAATCAGAACTCCGGTAACCTTCTTCGATCTTCAGAACTCTGATAGATTATGCGGAAATTGGATTTTTGTATTTTAATTATATGAATTTAATATTTTCAATGATTTTGGTTAAATAAATAGAGATTGAATAATATGTAGGATGTGATGAAAGCAATCTTTCTCATAAAATAATATCCAACTCGGTCTTTTTACGAAGTGGGGCTTAGGTATATATAATATTTAGGTTTTAGGGTAGTATAGAACAGATAAAACTCTTGAAAAACGCGAACTTGGATTTCATGGATAACAACGTCACTTGAGCGAGAGTCCAGTGACAGGCGAGCGATAGGTGTTTGGCTCAAGCAACAGGTTAGCGACAGTATTTCTATTTTGGACGCTCGAGCAACAACTTAGCGGCATACTAGTATAAATCCGGCAATTTTTTCTTCTTATTCCATAATCGAACACAAGGACTCTCAATTCATCTATACAACCTACAAATTGGCTTCTTGACTTTTAAAAACTCTTTTACAACTGTATTTTTGTTTAAAGATTATCAACAACTACAAAACTTAACATATTAAAATTAACAAATTTCTTCACGTGATTATCCTATTTTGTGCTTATCGTTGAATCGATTTGATATTATAGCTCAGCAATGTCTTGAGGTTCGTGAGCTCGATGGAAAAAGTAGTGTTGCAACATCTTTCACGCCTTAGAATCTTGAGGTGCTGATGGGTGTCGGTTTGTATGAAAAATTATGGTGTTTTATTAAAGAAGTTGAAATTATTATTGCAACAAAATATAATTTATATCTCAAAACAAGGACTAGTATAAAATGAAGCCCCATTTTAGAAAATATAAGTACAATTTTACGAATGTGCTATTGGTGTGGATGTAGTGACACGTACTACTCCACAAAGAAGTAAAAATTCTACGTTTTTACCAATTTCAGTATCAGAATAACTATTTTAATCGTGTAAATTATAGCCTATTTGTCTACCATTATTGATAGAAAAATGGAGTAATGAATAGTATTTTTTGGAGAATGTGTGATTGAAATTTAAAGTAATTTTATTGGTTTGTATGTGAAATATTTTATTGAGTGAATATGTGGTTGAAATTGTTTACTGTATAAAACAATATTTGTAAAAATGGTAGACAAACGGGGGCTCAATCTGCAATGAATAGAGTATACTTATTAGTTAACTATTTTTCCTTTTATTGAAATCGTTTTTTTTTTTTTTAATATTTTTCCAACAATTATCCTAAAAACCACACGTGATCTTAGTGCACTCGTAGATTGCTTTCAGACAGCTAATGCTCACTAAACACGAGAGGGTTAAAATTGTCATTACACTACCCCCACCTAACCCCTATCCACCACTTTATAGTCCTTCTCCTCCCTCTTTTACAAAATTCCTGACCTTACGTTTTTCTTTCACATTTCTAAAAAAAAACTCATGGGCAAGAACAAGAAGAATGGAAAGTTCAGCTGGAGCTCCGCCCTGGTGGGGGCGGCGGCCGCTACCGCCGCCACTTGGATGATTTCATCGAAGCCGCGAGACCCCACTTTCTACTTAATTTCCCTTGACCTCACTTCCTTCAAGCTCAACTTCCCGGTCCTCGACGCCGAAATGATCCTGACCGTCCACGTCACCAATCCCAATGTCGTCCCCATTCACTACTCCTCCACGGAGATGTCTATATACTACGGGGGCTCACTCCTCGGCTCGGCTCCTGTGAAGGCTGGCTCCCAGCCGGCCCGGTCCTGCCAGTTGCTACGACTGCCGGCGCGGTTGAGCGGGCTGCAGCTGGCTCAGCACGCCAAGAAGTTCCTGTCGGACGTGGGGCAGCGGGAGATGGTTCTGGACTCTGCGGTGAATATCGAGGGCGCGGCTAAGGTCCTGTGGTGGGACCACAAGTTCAAGGTGCATGTGGATAGTCACGTGACTGTGGATCCTTTGTTTCTTGATGTCATTGATCAGGAAAATAGATCGGAAATGGAGATCTTTGTTACATGAGTTGCGATGGCTGCAGGGAGAGCGATAGTGAAGACTGTTGTTGGAAAAGGGGCATCACTGTAACAGTTAACTTTGAGAATTAAAAATGAAATTTGGATAAGTGAGGAAATGTATGATTACAAATAAATTAGCCAAAACGAGGCTTAACCAACCCTTGTTTCAACGTTACTTAAATTTATTTTTTGAAAAAGCAAATTTTGTTAACCTTTGTTTGATTCAGAAGAGAATTACCTCTTTAACAAATTTTGATAAGATTATAGATTACATGGAATATATTATTAAAATTAATTGTAAATTTTAATTCAAATTTTCATATGAATAAAATAATCGTCATTATTTTGAGAAAATTGAGTTTTGAATGGTGAGTTTTTAGAGAACGTGCATTTAAGAATAGAAAGTTTTGAATTTACGTATTAAATATTTTATTATGTAAATATGTAGTTGAAAATGAATATAAAAATTAAAGAGTTTCGAAATAATAATTGTCAAACATGAGCAAAATATGATTTTAAATTAGAATAATACTACTTTGTCCGCAAAATGTGACATAATGATTGATAAAATAAGTGTTGACAAAATGTGATTGATTGAAAAAGTTGACTGTATTTTAAACAGTCTAATTATAGTTTGTCATGTGACATTATGTCAGTGATTATGTCAATCATTATATTCATGTAACACGATTTTTCCTCTTTTTTAATTAGTTATCGCTTTACGTATTAATTTAAAGAATAGAAAAGAGGAAATGCAATAATGAGAAAGTTAAGGGTCTGTTCTCTTTGGTGTTTTCGGGCCGTTTTCTGTTTTCAATTTTTCAAAACGGTGAAAACGCGTTCTCTTTCCCATTTTCCCAAACGAATTTTTGAAAACACAAAAACAATTTGTACACAAAATGGAAAACAACCCAAATGTCGTTTTGGCTGTTTTTAGGGAGTGAGCTTGTGAAATTGGATTCCGACTGATGAATCGAGGTGAGCTTCAATACTCTGCATATACTTCTGTAAGTTAAGATGAAATTGGAATTAGTTATTTGGGGGGTGATTGGAATTGGAATCAATTGTTTATGGCTTTTTCGATTTTGGTTGTGTTGATTG